AAAAAAAAACAAAACACAAATTCAAGAGGGTTTCCAAGAAGTGAAGGACCAGAGTCTCTTCTGAAAGGGTTCAACGGCCTGGCACAACACATGGAAACGGACCTTCACCAAAGTATGCCACCATGAAATTTCAGAACTCTAGTGGCAGAAGTGAGAGAGTCACATACAAAGAATCAGAACTCGGAATGGCTTGACTCCTCTAACAGCAACACTAGATGGTAGGTGAAAAGTAACAATGCCTTCAAAATTTTAAAGGAAAATGAATTCCAAACTGGAATTTCACACCTGATCAAGTATGAGAGAATGAGACATTTTTCAGACATGCGATTCCCTTAAACTACTTTCCATACATCCCTTTTACTGCAAGCCAATCTACCAGAATGAGGTAATAAAACAAGGGGAGGAAGGGACACAAACAGAAGACTCAGCAGGGGAGAGCCCACGATGACAGCAATACATTAAGCACAGGGAGAGCCAATCCAGGTAGGGGCTGGTCAAGAAATTGGTAAAATAGATAATGTGTTAATGTCCTTACAGAATTTGGGTTGAATTAGTGACAAGTGGCCGGAAAACTAAGCTAATCGCTAATAAAAATGTGAGAGGAATATTAATTCTAAGGAAATGAAAGCTCTGTGGTAAGGTAACTTCATCCACTATGTGGCTCAGCTGTGATTTAAATACCATCATAATAATGCAAACACTAAATATATGATCTAACTAGAATATATCAGGGAGAGATGGGGGGATGGGGAGTACAGGCATGGTGGGCAGGAGGGAGAAAAGTCAAACGGTAATGCCTACGATGCAAACATCACTACCCATGCACATGTTTAAATTGAGACCTGATGGCGAACTAAACTGACCAGCCAACACCTGAAAGGGAATACTGTGAAGCAGGGAAAATGGGGAAGGGCAGATAGGGTAGGAAGTTTGCTGTTTTTCCTAACAAACTTTGCAGAACTATTTGTTTTTTCAATGCAAAATAACAGATTTTCTTCCTAAAATGCAGGGTATAAAACTGTTTAAAAAGACGTATTTTGTTAATTTATTGTTTCTAAATTTGGGGGACATCTGTGTTTCTAAATTTAGGGGGCACCTGTGTGGCTCAGTGGGCTAAGAGTCTGCCTTCCGCTCAGGTTGTGATCTGGGGATCCTGGAATACATCAGACTCACTGCTCAGCAGGAAGCCTGCCTCTCCCTTTCCCTCTGTCCCCGCCCACACCCTCAAATGAATAAAACCTTTATGAAAAAAATTTTAAGTTTCCAAATTTTTACTGTGCACATTAAAAAAACCATAAATGGGAACTCCACTTTTCAGGACCTAGGTAGGGTTACAGTTGTTTTTACTGCATGTAGAATCATGCAAGACTGGTATTCCTGCATGGTTCCTAAGGTAAACCATATCCAGTCAGCTTTTTAGAACTAGAATGCAATTCATGTGTGAAGTATAATGTGTTACTGAAGTCTTGTTTACTATAAAAGTATGATGATTTAAGCAGTGACCATACTAGAATAACATTTTCAAACAGTCCAGGATATCAAAATGTGGCCACAGATCTACTAAATCAGATCTACCTAGCTTGGGTGGCAAGGGCATTGCTTAAAATGCAGATTCCCGGGCCCAGCCCCCAATTAATCCACAATCTCTAGGGGTAGGGCCATAGAATCTGCATTTCTAACAAGGTCCATAAACCGATGTTGAAAACTACTGCTGTCACTCACTATATGAGCAACTCAAGTGTTCATTAATAAGCCAATAAATCAATGCCTGTAAGTCACAGTCACAGGCAGAGAAGAGGGAAAGGAATCCATGCAGGGTAGTGGGTATCACAGTGTCTACCTGAAAGAATCATTTAAAACACTTCAGAGAGATTCCACTCCATATGTAACTCAATGTACAAGTTTTTTTCTTATCAGGAACAATACATTAACTCTTGGTCAAACCTTAAACAAACGAACTCTTAACTCCATTCACACGAAGTTCATTGGAAATAGTGCCCAGTCCAGGAGCCCCTCCACCGGGGAAGCAGAGCCAGCAGGGCCATTAGCATTCGTCCAAATGTCAGAGGGGCTGGGGCTGCTGGAGCAAGAGGTACAGGGATTGCGCTGGGGGATGGGTCTCTGAAGCCTTACTCACGTGGCTGTGGTATCTGACCAACACTCTGATGCCTTTGCCTTAGTTCTTTATTTCAAGAAAAATGCAAGGTCTGTTACACTGAGGTAGGGTCATGATTGTAAGGCATAGCTTGTTAGAAAATCCCTAATTGATGCCTAGTTAACAGATGTGTTGGACTTTCTTCTTTTATTACTTGAACAGTGTGTCCCATGTGCAATGTTCTAAGGTAATCAATCCCTTTTCTTCTTAATAGTTTTTACTGAAGTTCATCCTATACTGAACCTGTGGCAAGACCTCTTTTCAGTGCATGACTTCAAGTCTGCTTTTCTAATTTCTGTGTTTTTGTCAGTTATTCACTTTGCGTGCCTCATCCTCTCTACCTCTGCTAATTAAAAGCCAGGACCATGCCATTGCATTTTGAGATGCTCTGACAAATGACTAACAATCTGTCCCCGCAAATCACCACAGAACTTCATAAGCCAGTGCAGGAGCCACAGGTGTTGGCTGCTTAGATTACTTTTGCCAGATGCTGAGCCACTAGGGTTTCCAGGCTACGAAGATCAGAGTGGTGGACTTTTCACGGGCCAGGAGCACCCATGCCATGCTGCTTAAGCTGAGCTGATGATATCTCCACATCTGTGTGTTCTTGGAGTTTCTCCGAGGGTTTAACCAGCAACTGGCCTCAAACAGTAGCTTAAACTCTTACCAGTAACTGTGCTATTTCAAAGTACTGGCATTCTCCCAGGATATCTTCCTGGGTGTCAAAATTTAACCCGCTGCCAAAGCAAACAAAACACCAAACTCCAAAATGAACACACAGTCCTTATTTCTTCAAAAAGAAAAACAACAGAGGCACCTGGGTGGCGCAATCGGTTAAGCGTCTGATTCTTGGTTTTGGCTCAGGTTGTGATCTCAGCGTCATGAGACTGAGCCCTGCATCCTGCTCAGCATTCAGCATGGAGTCTGCTTGGGTTTCTCTCTCCCTCTGCTCCACCCCCACCCCCAGCACGCTCTCTCTCTCAAATACATAAATCTTAAAAAAAGGGGCGCCTGGGTGGCTCAGTGGGTTAAAGCCTCTGCCTTCGGCTCAGGTCATGATCTCAGGGTCCTGAGATCGAGCCCCACATCGGGCTCTCTGCTCAGCGGGGAGCCTGCTTCCTCCTCTCTCTGCCTGCCTCTCTGCCTACTTGTGATCTCTGTCTGTCAAATAAATAAATAAATAATCTTAAAAAAAAGAAAAGAAAAGAAAAACAACAAAAAGGACCACCATATTTATTTAGTTTAACATTTCCCCAGATCTAAAGAGAAAGATGTCAAAAGAAAAGCTAGAACATATACATAAGCACACACCCCCCTGAACACAGATAACCTAAAAGAAAAAATAACGGCAAAGTTCTGTTCAACAGATAAATTTATCTTCGTTTCTGGAAGATGTTTCCACGCCCCATTCCACGTCCTCTTCCTCTTGCAGCCACTGAAAGATGGAAAGAAAGGATAAGGCCAGGTCAGTGTGGTCAGCAAATGCTCATGCCACGGAGCAGCCAGGGTCCTTGGACACTGGCACAGAAGAGGCCTGAAAAGCCACCTGGTCCAATACCATGCCGACCCCATGACATTTCCTCATTGCAGGGGGACCAGAGCTGGAGTGCCTTCCAGTCCAGCACTGATTTCAACATGAGGCTGGGAGTCAGGGTGTTGAGAGCTTAGGTGGTTTGGGGAACAGGCCTGAGAACCACAGAAAAGATGAATTCCCAGCACTGGCCTAGGGTGAGTTAATAAAACAAAACAGATGAACTTAATTCACACTTAAAATCCTGAAACAAACAGTTAAATACTAAACATCTGTTAAATCTGGGTAACAGGTTTTATTATTTTTTGAGGTATTCTGCAATATAAAATGTTTCATAATAGAAAAACAAACAAACAAATAAAACCACTCCCCATACAAAGGGCATACAAGCTGCTGTTCTCTGTAACTCCAAGAGTTCTAGGAGAGGACCAGTGGCTTTGAAGGACAGATGAAAACATTCTGATGCCTACTAACTCGAGACTGATTCCTCTTCCCTCTTGTAGAGCCTCGTGAAGAGGGAGGAAAGTCACGCAGGAGCCCAGCCACATACTGAAATGAACCAGAGCAAGGGACCGACAGCGATACAGATGGCTCAGGCAGAGGCCAGTGGACCTGGGCAAACTAACTGCCAAGTGCCTTCTAGTGCACAGGCTACTGGGTTGCATCTTTTGTCAGAGAAGATGGTGGTGCAGTTACGCAGTGACAATGAGGACAGCCCTTCCCTGAGAAAGCAGAGAGAACAGCAGTTCTAGTAGGAAAACCAGTATTCCTGAAAATCATTCCTTCACCAGGACAAAAGTCCAGAGCTTCCGGTTCTACAAATGCCACCTACCTAGGAAGGGCAAGGAGATTCTCTGATCAGTTTTTTGGAAGGACACTTAAAGGATTACTCTAGGGGCACCTGGGTGGCTCAGTGGGTTAAGCCTCTGCCTTCAGCTCAGGTCATGATTCCAGGGTACTGGGATCGAGCCCCGCATCAGGCTCTCTGCTCAGCAGGGAGCCTGTTTCCCCCTCTCTCTCTGCCTGCCTCTCTGCCTACTTGTGATCTGTCAAATAAATAAAATCTTTAAATAAATAAATAAATAATAATAAAGGATTACTTTATTGCACCTTTAAACTCAAAAACTACCTCATATATAAAATATGCACAACAAAAGATGCTGATGGAGAATCCAGTGACTTTCCTGCACTATAAATCTTTTTACCGATACTCAGATAGTTTCTAATGAATGTACTTGCTTCCTAGATAATTAACACAGCAGAGCTTCTCGGGGACCCAAAGATAAAACCTCTGACTAGGCTAACCCAAAAGAAAGGCCAGACTAAGGAAGGTCACTGGATCAGTGCGGACATGCTGAAGGAAGGATTTGTTTTCAAATGTAAGAATATTAGAAAACAGAAGTCTGGTCCCTTTAATGGGTAAAGATGGCTTAAAACTGTTTATTTCTTACATGAAAATGGATCCCTACCATCAGCATCCACCCCCGCACTTATACTGGGTGTCAATAAACACCCCGAGCTCTCTGTGAACTGTTGCCCCACTGCCTCAGGTGTCAACTAAGCCCCACCACAGAGCTCCTGCTCAGCAAACTAGTAAGAGCAAGCCTCCCCCAGAATCTTTGGACAGAATTCCTGGAAACAAAGTCATTATAGGAGACTTATCCAGTCTCTCACTTAAGAGTCCCCTTCTTCTTTCGAAGGAGGCACTTTGGATTTTGCATAAGCCCTATGAATGTGATCAGGCACGACAAGAGACAGAAGGTAAGATCAGGCCATCAGCCCCTCACATGTGGGGGCCCCAACGCTGTAGGGTGGCAGTGAGTATGGAGATGGCTGAAGTCCAAGTCCACCCCCAGGCCCAGGCAATTGACAGGGCCCGCCCTTCCCTAAAAGATACAGGACAAAAATATTAAAACCAGTGCAAGAGGAGCACATACCTTGGGCCTTCAGAATAGCAGCTTTTCCCCGGCCAGCCCCTGAGCCTTGGTTTTTATTTTTCATGCTCTTTAACATGGGCGCATTTTTCAGCATGTCAGGCAAAATGAGAAAACGGATCTTGCTGCCACGGATGTACACCTGTTCCAGCTGTGCCACTCGGCCATCTCTGTATGTGACTGTGATGTTGGACATCTGGAAGGGAATCACCAGCTCATCAATCGGGGCCAACAGTACCAACAGAGAACAAGGACACACAAGGGGGGAGCCTTGGCTGGTGGTAGGAGAAGTCCAGAACTGCACAAACTAACATCATGAAATAAAGAAGCTGGCAAAGCACTTCACATACTCGGTCCTCACAGCACCTTCAGGATAGGTTATGGGCATTTCCATCTTTTACAGATAAAAACAAAACAAAATAAAAAACCCTAAAGCACTTGTCCAAAGTCCAACAGCCAGAATGAAAGGATGCAGATTCAAATCCAGCTGGCGTGACTCCAGAGCCCTAACTGCCATACTGCCTCCCTTGCCAGCATGTGAAGAGTTCTCAATGGTGAAAAACTCTAATGAAACAGCTTTGAACCACTTGTCCAAACTGTGTCCTGTCCTGCATCTGTCTAGCACACACAGAAAGGCACCATGAAGGTCTTGAGTATGCACCAGAGCCCCTCTAGCTTCAATGACCAGGGACTAAGAAGTACAAGCAGCAGCGCCTATACGAAGGGCTCAGAATATTGGGATCGTGTGAGGCAAGAGCCTGCACTGACAGGACACTTGGGCACGAACCTATAAGATACAAGGACTGGAGTAAAACAATTGAGAGAGGGGACAAAGTTATCACCTTGGGAGATTATGGGGTCACTCATTTGTGGACAGAGGGAGAGTGGACAGGATCAGGGTAGCACTTTGGAAAGATCAATATGCCAACATAGATAAACTGTGGGATGGAGAGACAGGGAGCCTTGAGGTGAGACCAACCAGCAGACAGCCTTGGCATAGCAGGGGACCCAAACCTGCTAGTGCAGACCTCAACAGGGACCATATTTACCACAAAAAGTAGCTTATTTTGAGTCTTCTGGATGAAAGAGAATATAATTTATTCAGAATAGGTCAAAGTCCACATTGTAGAGAGGTGTTGTCTCCCCAGATTCCTAACTGGCTTGTTGCCACCCTATACTCATTCTTTTCTTCCAAGAGCTAACTGGCCACCCAGCCTCTGCTTGAGCACCTGGTTTGCCAAAAGACTAACAACACTCCAGGGCCATCCTCACTAAATCTAAATGTGCAGGTGGAACAGTTCATAGAGCTTCAACCCACTGCCCCTGTTCTACCCTCAGGGTTACAGGGCTCTAGATTACCATAAATCTTCTGTTCCAGGCTCAACATCCCCAGTATCTTAAATTTCCACACAGGTTCTATATCCTTGCCATCCTGTTCTTGCCTCGAAGAATGCCATAACCTCTGGGGGTGCCTGGGTGGCTCAATCAGTTAAGTATCTGACTTCGGCACAGATCATGATCTTGGGGTCCTGGGATCAAGCCCCGCGTTGGGCTCCGCATCCAGCAGTGAATCTGCTTGTCCCTCTGCCCTCCCCTGCTTGTGTTCTCTCTCTCTCTCTCTCTCACCAAAAAACAAAACAAAACAAAATAACAAAAACCAAATACCATAACCTCTGGTGCCAAAACTGAACAAGAAGTATGATTAACAAAGCCAACTTTTACTGAGCACTTATTAGCATCCCAGGCAATTTCGTATCATAACTCCTATAAATCACACAATGCTACAAATCACTATGAACTCAGGTCTAACCCTAAACCCACATTCTGAAACCATACATCAGATCACCACTTACTTCCTTAAACAGTAAAGGAACAAATTAAATGAGACAAATATGTCTAAATGCTGTCCCTATTATCGAGTATATATTAGAAGAGCAGTAAACAACGAATCTAAATGACCACCAAGACATCTATTTTGGAGGCTGTGCTACTGCTAAGCTACTTCTCCAGCACAGTCCAGTACATCTCACCCCTTCCTGTCCTACAACCTCCCCAACCCACTTTGAGAATCCCTGACAGAGGGTGTTCAGTAAGACCAACAAGACAAACTGTTTCCACAAATGGATGTGTCCTGGCTGAAGCACGAAAGGGTCCAGCATCAACTGACTCCTATGACAACCCTAAAAATGACCAGGTCGGCTGCTGTACTCATGCACTCCCTCGCAGCACCAGCAGAGAAATGGCTGTGCTGGGTATAAAGCCCCACAGGCCCGCCCACCCGTACAGCTTGTTAATAAGCCCAAGCTATGTCTGCATCATAAGCCAAAGGCAACAACTTGAGTGAACTAGGTTTCAGTGTTGTCAGGTGGGAACACCCACTTTATTCAACTTTCCCAAATAGCCATAATGAAACATAGGTGGCATAAACTAGGTGCCCAACTGAAATGACATCTTGGGGGAGAGAGAACACCTTAATACAGTCAAAATTGTGGGAGTTTCCTCACACATCCAGGGCCAAGAAGAGAGGACTAACTCCAGGGCTGTAAAGCAATGTTGGGGTGCTCTGGGATCATCAATCACAACATCCTGTTGCAAGGCACACAGCAAGGGCTCAACAAACGTCTGGTCCCCTCTCTTACTCTCCCCTGCCCTACCATTAACAACAGAGCCTCCCTCTTTTTTCTACTCATCTTCTTGTCTGAAATCTGATAGAGTGAGGGTCTGACAATTCTAGAATCAACAGGACCTAGCAGGTTTACTATACACCTCATCTTCAGAGATGATGGTTAAGATCAGAGATTTGAGACTCAGAGACTTGGGTTTAGATCCACTCCTTCCATGCTTGGTCACCCTGGCCATCTGGAAGTTTGTCATCAGAGAGGTCCTGTGATAACTGAAAGATCTGTTGTACATAAAAACACTAGCATAGGGGCGCCTGGGTGGCTCAGTGAGTTAAAGCCTCTGCCTCCGGCTCGGGTCATAATCTCAGGGTCCTGGGATCCCTGGGATCCCAGCCCGCATGGGGCTCTCTGCTCAGCAGGGAGCCTCCTTCTCCCTCTCCCTGCCTCTCTGCCTACTTGTGATCTGTCAAATAAATAAATAAAATCTTTAAAAATAAATAAATAAATATCCGACTCCAGGTTTTGGCCCAGGTCGTGATCTTAGGATTGTGAGACTGAGCCCCACTCAGTGGAGTCCACCTGAGATTCTCTTTCCCTCTCCCTCTGCCCCTCCGCACCCTGGCACATGCTCTCAACTCTCTCTCAATAAATAATAAATCTTAGTAAGTTAAAAAAAATTCTTTTGTAACCATCATGGTAAAAAGATTCAAACAAGAATCTTCACTGGATGCTAAATGAGGGGTGGTGAAGGTGGTGATGAATAACAGAATACTCACAAGATATTTACTTCAAGAACCTCCCTCACAAAATTCTCCTTTGTTGCAAGAGGGAAAAGTACAGTGGACAGACCACACAATACTTCAACCAAATTACCAAGGTTAACATCACCAATAGGGGCAAGTGTTCTGGGCCTCCTAGTGACAACCCCAGAAGAAGTCATCACTTACACAGTAACAGCCAAAACAACACAAAAACAAACCCCAAATCCCATCATGAGGAAACACCAGAGAAAGACATACAATCAAAAGACATTCTAAAACAAATAACTGGGGGCGCCTGGGTGGCTCAGTGGGTTAAAGCCTCTGCCTTCGGCTCAGGTCATGATCTCAGGGTCCTGGGATCGAGCCCCGCATCGGGCTCTCTGCTCTGCGAGGAGCCTGCTTCCCTCTCTCTCTGCCTGCCTCTCTGCCTACTTGTGATCTCTCTCTGTCAAATAAATAAATAAAATCTTTAAAAAAAAAATAAAAAAATAAAACAAATAACTGGTCATTATTCTTCCAAAATGTCAATGCCGGGAAAAGCAAAAGGATAACTGTCCCAGACTAAAGAAATACAAAGCAAGCTGATATTAAGCGCCAATACGAGATCCTGAATTGAATGGTACAGAGGAAAACACTGCATGTACAGAGAGCACATAGATAAGCAGTTTTTCATTCTAGCTAGAGAGGGTATCGAAAGAAATTCCCAACCACCCTGCACTCAGAAATGTCAAAAACTTTCCTGATATTCATTCTGGGGAGTTTTGTGACAGTCACGTGACGGGTTCTCTCAGGTTACCATTTTTACAAAAACAAATCATGCACAGGCCATTTTCCCACAGACCATTATTCCATAACCAAAAAAAAAAAAAAAAGGGGGGGGGGGGGGGGTTTGAACAGTCCAGTCAATGATGGGGTGGTCATGCTAAGGCTCCCAAAGCACCATTTTGGCTCCAGCAGTGTCTCTGAACTCTTATCACTCTCTCCCACCAAATTTCTAGGAATTATGTTGCTTTAAGAAGTGAAATTTTGGCACAGCAAAGGAAACAGTTAACAAAACCAAAAGACAACTGACAGAATGGGAGAAGATATTTGCAAATGACATATCAGATAAAGGGCTAGTGTCCAAAATCTATAAAGAACTTAGCAAACTCAACACCTAAAGAACAAATAATCCAATCAAGAAATGGGCAGAAGGGGTGCCTGGGTGGCTCAGTGGGTTAAGCCTCTGCCTTCGGCTCAGGTCGCGATCTCGGGGTCCTGGGATCGAGCCCCACGTCGGGCTCTCTGCTCGGCAGGGAGCCTGCTTCCCCCTCTCTCTCTGCCTGCCTCTCTGCCTACTTGTGATCTCTCTCTCTCTTTCTGTCAAATAAATAAATAAAATCTTTAAATAAATAAATAAATAAATAAATAAATGGGCAGAAGACATGAACAGACATTTCTGCAAAGAAGACATCCAGATGGCCAACAGACACATGAAAAAGTGCTCCATATCACTCGGCATCAGGGAAATACAAATCAAAACCACAATGAGATATCACCTCACACCAGTCAGAACGGCTAAAATTAACAAGTCAGGAAATGACAGATGCTGGCGAGGATGCGGAGAAAGGGGAACCCTCCTACACTGCTGGTGGGAATGCAAGCTGGTGCAACCACTCTGGAAAACAGCATGGAGGTTCCTCAAAATGTTGAAAATAGAACTACCCTATGACCCAGCAATTGCACTGCTGGGTATTTACCCTAAAGATACAAACATTGTGATCCGAAGGGGCACGTGCACCCGAATGTTTATAGCAGCAATGTCTACAATAGCC